GGTGCGCGAGCTGTGAGCTGGAGCTTGGCGAGCGACGTACGGCTCGGCGGGAACGGCTCGGCGGGAACTTGGGCAAGCTCGAGAGCAGGTCAAGTAGTTCCTTGGCGTCCTTCGAGCTGCTCCGCGAGTTGCCCCGGTGCATCACCACCTGGAGCTTCTCGCAGACGTCGCTGACCGGGCCCCCATCACAGGGTCTTCACTAACATGTAAATACATTTTTTAAACCTTAAACCTCTTTTACGTACGTAGCTTTATTTTGTGCAATCAGACTGCGCGGACAGACGGACAGGTGCTAGTCTCGCAGCGTCGGCCGGCTATCCGAGACCGCGTCCAACGATCCTCGCGCCGTCAACGTCGTCGCCACCTGTACAGACGTGCGACGATGCACAAGACGGACAAAGTGACCTCCTTGCGTGCTCTCGACGAGCTTCCCAACTGCGACCAGTTGGTGAAGGACCGCGCCAGCTTCGTGCTGCGGACCTGGCTCGAGGCCCTCTCACCAGGTCCGCAGCAAGAAGATCGCGCGGTCCCTCACTAACGGGTTGCACTTGGGAAGCGCGCATGGAGCACTCAAGGTCACGACGATGGCCGTCTTGTCGATCGTCGCGCGGTACTCCAGAAGGCTTATTAGCTGTGCATGTATCCTAATATAAAACCTCCTCGGCTTCCTATCTCTGCGCGAGTCGTCTGCTGCATCGCTGCCTGGAGCTACAGCTTGAAACTCCTCGGTGAAGCGGCCGAGCTCGTCCAACAACGACATGTTCGTCACGTCGGGGTGAATGAAAACGAATATGCCAAAATGATCTTCCGTACACTGCTCTAATAGTGCATGCGAGTCGATGAGCTGGTTTCTATCCACAGCCATCCTAGAACGCCGAGTAGGATAGGTACCCCGCCCCTCAGTGTGGCAACTTCGCGTGTCATCCGGATAATCGAAAGAACTTCAACAAGTCGCAGTCGCCACGTCATATTTCTTTTTCAACGCCCCTTTCCGTCGTTTATCTCGATAATCACATAAATACGTCGACACAAATATGTCGTAAAAAAGCATTTACGCCATTTTATGAAGAACAGGCGGTATCCACGTCGTCCACATCGACCCAGCTGCGCGGATGGCATCCAACAGTGGCCTTCGCCATTTCCCGACTTCCATTGACGACGAGGATGGTCTCGGTCCTAACGACAGCGCGCTCCTCATGGCTGCCCTCGTGGCGGGCGTCGAGCTCGACGCTGCTGGCTACCCGCGCTACTGCGGCAAGGACATGGCCTTCTCCAAGGTGCAGCCCGTGACCGACCCGCGCATGGCGTCGCTCACGCTCCAGCACGTCCAACTGCTCGTGCGCCACGGCGCGCGCACGCCGTATAGCTGGCAAAAGTGCTGGAATGGCTACAACGAAGCGTGGAACTGTCAGCTCCGCGACCGCATGGCGCCTGTCCTGCACACGGCCGACGACGTGCCGAGCAACATGACCTTCGACAAGATCTACACGGACGGCCAAAACGTCTTCAAGGGCACGTGCCTCCTCGGGCAGCTCCTCGACGAAGGCTACACACAGCAGCAGCAGAACGGCGCGTACGCTCTCTCTTTTCCAATGTGTAGCCAAGTCTGACGTCACGCGATAGGAACTTTCGGGCTGCGTACGTCGGTCGTGGCCACCGTGCGCTCTTTCAGGTCGACGAGCCCCTCGATCTCGCGACCTCCAAAGGTACATCTCTCTTTCTACCCATCGACTCTCGTCATCGCAGTCGAGCGTCGTAGACGTATATTTTGAAAGCACCGACGTCCACCGCACCGTCGGCTCGGGCTACGTACGCTACGACACTCTTTCCATCCTGTGCGAATGGACATATTGTCATGCCTCATAGATCATTGTCCAACACATGTTTCCCAACAGCTCGTCAAACGCGGTGCCCTTCCACACGGGCGACATTGGCGTCTCGGCGCTTGTGCCCAGTGCCGACTTGTGCCCCGCCATGAACGTGCTCGGCGGCCAATGGCAAGCGTCCTCCGAGTTTCACAACTGGGTCACCAACGCCTCCAACGGGGCGCTCGAGGCACAGCTCGCGACCTATGCCCCGGGGTACCGCAACGACATTCTCTTTGACTGCCTCATGACGCAGCGCTGCACGAACCGGACGCTACCCAACAACATGACGCTCGACTTCTTCCATGCGATCGTCAACAAGCTCGAGACCTCGGCGCTTCTGCCGTACTACTTTCGCGACAACATTTACGCCCGCACGGCCAGTGCGCGGCTCGTGGCCCAGCTGCGGAGTCGGTTTGAGGCCGCAATGGCCGGCGTGGGTCCCCGCTTCTACCTCTCGATCGGTGCGC